ACTTTCCATATTGTTTGATGTGAAAAGACCATGAATATGAGCAAGTGTGCTGGTTTTTGGATCTGTTCCTTCCTTGTAAAAACACAGACATCCTAGTATTTTCCATGTAGACAGATGTTTCCCTCCGATTCAGTGTCCCTGAGAGAGTTAGAATATCCAAGTCTACTAAGCACAAAATAAACATGGCTTTGTTTAAGATAGAAGTGTTACTATAAGTTGAATTTTGCACATTTAAGAATGTCTTTTGTTTCACATGAAACATTCAAAAATTCATTGTTAGTGGTGGATTTTCCTGAATTTGAGTTTTCACTAGGATGGGAAAGGAAAATAGATCACAGTAAGTATTAAACTATGCATATCAAGTCCCCCATTGCATGGAGGTACAAATAATGCCTCTTAATTCTAAAATAATAAGCATGTAGTAAAGGGTTACTCAAATGTACACACAGTTTGGTCTGTAATAGGCCACCGCAGGAACCTGATCACCAGCTATAAAAAATGATAGAGGGGGGCCACCTGCCTGGCTGCCGAAATTTACCAAGCGGAATCCCCCCCGCTCTGTAAATGAAAATTACCGAGGTGAACCCCTACCCCCCCCTCAGTTGGCAAAATTTTCCAAGGTGGCTTTCCCCCAGAATGCCACTGACCATATTTGATGTTCAACAGCTTTGCCTCATGACAATGCTGAGAATCTCTGATTGAGTAATAGGAAGTTTTCAGTCTGAGTAGGACATGGTTGGACAAAAATAGTTGTTATACATTTGTCTTTGGCTAGGACTTGGCTGGAGCTTGCGTAGTTGTATAGCTTACACTGAGAGGTCAAATATATATACGTGTGTGTGTGTGTGTGTGTGTGTGTGTGTGTGTATAAACAGGTGGAGAAAGAATGTCAGGTGGAGGAATTTGTGAATTATCATTAAACCAGTTCTTCAGGTTTCTCAGACATGCCTGAACTTTTGTTTGCATTTCACTCGGGCTTTGAAGCATATCCAGCTGACACAAAAACTTTTCAATAGAAAAATGTTGGGCCCTTAAAATATAGTAAAATGTGAAATTATATAATCATTATAGGCAATTGTTGCAGGTCGCAAAGCATTTAAGTACTTTACAATAAATAGTGTCATTAAAATTAAAGGGAAACACTACAACTGCTATTTTTTAGACATACAAAAGAACTTAATTTGACATGAAGCATTAAACTCGTCACCTCTATGCACAATACCTAAGTAGTTAATTTTCAGAATTTAATTAAATATTTTGTTTTGTGAGTCTCATCGGGGCTATTCAAAAGCAGAAATGTGAAGGAAATTATCAACATAGTAGTAAATGGATAAATGGTAAATGGAAATGGATAGTAAGTTTTCTTACTTATGTTTTTTAGTCTTTCTCTGCCAAGCACAGTTCAAGGCTTTTAATGTGTCTACATAACTCAGTTTTCATTCAGCTTCTATTGTTAATGGATCACTAAAATTGTCACTTATTTAATCTGAAATGATTTGAATATGAAGTATTTATGTGAAATGCAAATGACACTGTTCTAGTATTGGTGTTAGGGGAATTCAAAATGGTTATTTTCTGTGTGGTGAGTTGGGAAATCTTTCAGGATAGCAGAAATCAATCAAGCAAAATACTTTAGGGAAATTAATACTTAAAATGGGTTTGTGGCCTCTTCTGGGAATTTTGAATAAAAGGTTTTCAGTGGAAAACAAAAATGGGTCATTATTAAAACCAACATGTGGAAAAACTTCCACTATCTATACCCACTTCCCTGGGAACGTGCCTCAGACTCAGACTTATTAATATACCCAGTGGACCATATTTGGAACCACAACCTTAATCAGTAAAATAAGGATCAGCTGTGTTTTACTTCCTGAGGAATTTGTTTGGCTAGAGCTGATGATCAGTTACCATGTTTGGACTAAAGTAGACTAAAGTATGTTGTATCCTTTATCAAAGCACTACTACAGTGCAAGACTATCCACAGTCTCCGCTGATTACAGCAAATTATAAGCTTTCTATATTATTCCCCTGCATTATTCCCAGTACTTCCTGGGATAGGCTCCAGACTCTCCTCAGCCCTGTACTGGAAATGGAATGTTATCTATCTGCATCAAGTCACTCCTTAGGATCTACATTCCATCCTGCCCTCTATAGTCAACAATAAAATGTTGCTGATTCCTTAACTATGTGAAAACAAGTCCTGTATTAGATGCTTCACATGCATGGATGGCAGAATGACTAGCTAACCACATGCAGTCTGCCGAGTCTCTCATAACCTTCAAGAAATGCCATAAAACCCATCTCATGTCAGCTGACCACATCCTACCACTGACACTCACCTGCTCACCTACTCTTGCTGTGTAGCTCACTAGGCACTACCGGATGCCCTGTTCATCTACTTTGTACTTAGACTTAGTTCATACTAGATTCTCTTTGGTGATTTTTATTTGTATAGCGTTCTGATGTTATTGTCTAAGCAGTGGTTATATAGCTCTTATTCTCTTACCTGTCAAATCGAGTGCTGTGTGGCTCTGCAGATTTGGTATCTGTGCCTGTAGTCAGAAGGTTGTGGATTCAAATATCAGAGTGATGTCACTGCCCCGCCTTTGAGTAAAGCCCTTATCCCCAATTATCTTCACAGGCAAGTCATTTTGGACAAAAGAGTCTGCTAAAGAAGTCAATGTTACAGTTGTTCCTGGTCATTCATCAGAGACTTAGTTTTGTGGCATTTGTACCTAATTTTGGTCTTTGACAGCAGTATGACTGTTATTAGCTTGTTTTTTTGTATGTTGTTTTGGACAAAATCTTCTGCCAAATAAATGAATGTAAACTGTAGAATGTGCATCTGCATGCCATTTTGTATATGCATTCATAATGATGTGATTATACCTCTGTAATGGTACGAGATACTGCTCTGTGACACAGACATCATTACGTAAATATAATCTGATAGACTGACAGGTGTTTTTTTGAATACGAGGAAGCAGAGAGAGTACCAGAACCAGCAGCCATGAAACCAGCCTGAAGTGAACAATATTGAACCAGTTTGGAGCCTGAAGCTTAACTTGGGTTTTGCAGATTCTAGGTCAGGCAACTCACAGGAGCAGTTCAATGGAAAAGAAGGATTTATTTTTCAGGAAAAAAGCAAATAAATAAATAAACCTCAACTTAGGAATAAGTAAATGGTGCCTTAAACATTACTCAGGAAATAGTAATGGCAGTGGTTACAACAAGTCTCTATGCATATTTTTCTGCTGGATCTTCAGCTTGTCCCACTGTAATTTTATCCAGGATTTTACAAGTGAGTTCCTGCCAAAACCTGTCCAAAACAAACAGACAACAAATGACTTCAGATGGGCAAAGGACTGCTATTTGTATGTATACCAAATATACTTTCAGTACATATACATAAATAGCTGTGTTTGGTTCCTGGTCGCTCCCAGTATAATGCCCACTGGACATTTTTCTTTGTAAATTACAGCTGTGGGTTACATATTCTTATTTTCTTTATTTTTTAATTAGAGAGTCAAAAAGTATTTAACAAGGTGACTGTAAATTATTGAAAAGGAAAGAGAGAACAAAAAAAACAAAGAAAAAACATAAAATAAAATCAACTCCAAAAATACCGTGAGAGAACCACTAGGTGTTATTATACAGTATGTATGTGGACTGTTGCAGTTCCATACTGTACTTTCCCCTTAATGGTGGGTGTGTGTGTGTGTGTGTGTGTGTGTGTGTGTGTGTGTGTGTGTGTGTCTTTTTGTGTTGAGAAAGATAAAAGCAATACATCAGGAGGCAGAGATCAAAGAGAAGACAGGGAGGAGCAAAAGGAAGACTGATTGGAAGCAGGCTGTTGTTTGGTCAACCAAGGCAGGCTGGATCCACTGCATACCGCGAACGGGCCAGAGGGGGACGCATGGTCACTGGAAAGTGGCCACTGGAGACCAGCTCAGAGACACACTGACCCAAAAGAACCTCACCCCATGCTCCACACAGTGGGAATGAGAATAATAGTAATACTAATAATAGCAAAAAAAAAGCTTTTGTCACAACCATCAGTAAACATAAATATAAACAATATTACTAGTATAGAAAGAAAAGACAGGAAGGAAGTTGCTGCCTGAAAAATAAATGTAGCAATAAGGTATCCATCATTTTCATTATTATTAATAATAATAATAACGCAAAGGATAAATTAACCACAAAAGAGAGATAGCAAAAGGAAGAAGAAAAAAGAGGCTTTTATAAAATAAGTTAAAGCAACAGTGACTAAATAGGTGATAGAAGAACAGCGATACTGAAATAAAGTTTTTATCAATATAAAAGATTGTTTTATTTTCTTGTGCCACCATTAATGCACTCAGACCCCAACCTAGCATGCATATGTAGGCCTCACACGACGAGACCAGTTTTAGTTTTTCTGTATCAGTTTTCTCATCACTATCACACTAAAACTATTACATTAAAGACTTTTGTCCCCAAGACAAATGAGCAACCCGGCAGGTAATTTCTCTTACAACAATACGAAGCCTGACTAAGCAAGAATTAGGAATTTACCGTTTTATTTCACTTGCTAAAATTTATGTTTGTTGTCTATTCATGTAGTCATATGGTGCTGAAGACTCTTGCATTACCTGGTCAGTTATGTGCTGCCTGGCCTCATCTTTCTGACAATGAAGCACCGCATCATGAAGCGAAGAGAAGAGGCATCCCTTGGTGACTTTCTCACTGAAGAACTCTCCTCTCTCCAGACTCTCCACAACACAGGCTGGAGAAGTTAACATATTGGTTTCAGAAACTGATTATCCGAAATCATAATAAATGATGTTAGGCTTATTTTTTTACCCCCCCCACCCCCAAATTAATGTGTATTTATTGGTTTAAGTCATGAATAATTTGCCATCTCTAACTACACCCCTGACTCATACCATATAGCCAACACTGATTTAATGGTTTCAATTTACTAGTACTTCATTCATGTAACAGTGATGTCAGAATATATGGGTACTCTAATTGGAAGAAATAAAACCTGAATAAACAGTAAATGTATCATGGAAAGCACGGATATAAAACTGTAAGATGGGGATGTCTGTTCTGGGGTGAAGTCTGCTCACTTCACCTGGACCTTATTGTCAGTCATAAGGTCTCTCAACCCTTTCATGGCCAAACTCACTTGTAACCCACTGTCTTTTAATTGCATTCTTTCCTCATGTTGGCTAACTCATTTCCCCTCCCCTACCCAAATACCTAAAGTCCTTTTTCTTCCCACCCCTGAGTCACATCTCTGTTTACGTCCCGCTCAGCAGGTGTTTTGTAGACATCTTAAAGAGCCCTCGTTTCTCCTTTGAAGCATCTAAAATTTCCACTTTCAATAGAAAATTTAGAGAGAGTTTGAAACCATCCACATGGACAACTGAGCACTAAACACACTGCTATGTATAAAAATATGTTCTACATCATGTATTAAATTTTGTACTTTAGGTTTTGGGTCACAGGAAAAAACCATTGAGGTCTACATGATAATTATCGCTTAAAAATAGTAAAATCAATGTTTATCTGACCACCAGACAGAGAAAAAAATAGAATAACTGTACATTAAGTTCAATTGTAACTTTTCCTAAAAAACTCCAAGACCAAGCTGAGCAAACCCTTCTGCCCATATTGATCAATATGTGCTCAAAAGGCAGGGACCCCCACACCAATACTCACGCTGACAGCCTGCCAAAATGACTTCCACCCCGATTTCCCCATAGTCTTTCTGGATCTGAAATGGTACCAGGGAGCTGAATGAGTGGGAATGCCATCCACCAGAATGGGGGTGCTTACGGACAGAAGGCAGACAGGCACAGTGAAACAGAGTTTCCCCTTACATTGCGCAATGTCTTCACTCCCACAGTATCCAGGAAATTCACAGGACTCAGGTCCAGGATGATGGCGTGAGGAAGGGCGCGGTCTGTCTGAAAATTCCCTTCCACCGTTGCCACGGTACTGATCTGCGGGGGTTCGGGTTCTTCCTGACCGTGGAAAACACAACATTCTAAACAACATAGTATTTCAACATATATATCTGTACTTTCAATTGCAAGACAAAAAGTACAATCACACACTGAACAAGCATACATACATTACACAAGATACACTTTCAGTATTCAGTTGCTAACCATTCATCCACACACTCTCACACACACTAATCCATTTCTCCATGCCCACCAATTCATATTCGTCCGTTTCAGTCTCCGGTTCCGCCTCTGTATCAGAATCCATCTTGGCCTCCATCTTGGCCTCCATCTTGGTCTCCATCTTGGCCGCCTTCTTTGCCTCCTTCTTGGCCTTTTTGGCCTCTTTCTTCTCCCTCCTCAGCTTCTTTAGATCTTGCTTCCTCTTACGTGTCAGGATCTTGGTGATATCAATCCCACTCTAGACTCACACAGGGAGCATTCATACATTTCTCGATTGTTCTTTATTTACCAAAACATAAAGTACAATTTTCTCCCCATTAAGTGAAACCGGAAGTTCAGCCATTTCCATCATTTTCCTGATTGATGCCACATAATAAACAGACATACTGTACATTGTATCTGTTTACAATCTATTTCAAGCTTAGAAGTGTGGTTTATCGAACATTATGATTAACGTAAGGAAACGATCAAAGTGTCCAGTTTTCTCAAGGTTCTCAGAACGTTCTCTTACTACTACACCTATTACTACAACTAAGAATACTAATAATATGCAATTAAATAAAGTTCCATTATAAATAAAATCACGTTCCATTGACATTACAGTAAGAACATTCGCTGCCAACATTGAGAAGACATTTAGATAACGTTACCTAAATTATGGGAAGGTTCCTTGTTAGCTGGGTCCTCCCCTGTTAAACTGAATTCACTCACTAGTGCTCACAGCAAAGATGTTTGATCCTAATTATTAAGAAAACTTAGTATAAGGTAATGTTCCTTATTGCTAAAATGAATTACCTCAATAAAGCATTTAAGAGCAAAGATGCATCCAAACCTACATGCTGGGCTGTTTCCAGTAGTTTCCGGAAACTATGACGAGGTCACATAGAGTCGTCTAGAGTGCAGTAACTCCTGCACCACCAGCATTAATAACCTCACCTTTGCTGAAAGGGCATCTGCATACATCTCAGCGTTGGCGAAGTACAGCGTGGCAGAAGAGCGAAAAATAAACAAGCCTGGCAGCTGGTACGCCTGAACAAGAAAAGACAGTGAAGCTATTCACAGGAAAGTCAAGATCTACCACACTGACAGACCTCATCCCTGGTGCTGGAGATATCAGTCCAGTTGGGTAACAGAGCTACTTTATTCATCCCAAATTGTCTGTTCGCCCTGCATAGCTTACGGGTGTGAGACACTTAGAAGCATGTACAGGTGAGAGCAAGCTTGGGGGTCACAACATCGTGCCAGCCAGCACCCCCACGGCTTCAGGGCTTTACTCAAGGGTCCAACGGTGGCATCACTCTACCAGCCATAGAATTTGAACCGGCGACCTTCTGGTCATGGCATACAATCTTAACACGCAAACCCACACACCGCCACACTATGCATAACTAATTCTGGCTTAGAATTATTTTCTTAAAGTCAGCTGCTTGTGTTAATGGGTTTGAAGCTCTTAGTCGTCTGAGGAAGGTCAGGGGAAGAGGGGGGTGATCATTTTTGGGAAAGCAAGCCTGCACTGATAGTAGTAACAATGGGTGAGGGATGTGAACTGATGGCAGAAGGTAAAAGGCTCTGGAAAAAATGAACAGTGTGTAGACAGCTATGCTTCTTGATGCAACAGCAGAGTTTAAGACTAAGGGTTTCGTTATTATCTTATTCTGCAGTTGACTTTAATTTTAGTCAAAGTGTACAGTACAGAAAACTGGAAGCAGAACTACGGCAGAACACTAAAAAACAACTTAATAGAATGTGGAGTGGAATTTTGTTTTTTTCTGCTTTTCATTTATTCAAATAAAGTTACCATGGCTGAAGGGTTAGGCGGCTTGTGGTATTTATAGATGGTTTTATTAATACCAACGGATTTTCCCTGGGCTGTCTTCTGGCTTTTCACACTGACGTTTAATACTGCCTAATTTTAATTTACTAAGTACTGTGGGACACCCTGGCTGGGTAGGGCCATGTAAACATGACTGAACTGAATATGTTGTTAAATAGCTGGATGACTCACAGTTCTTATGGCTGCATTGTGGTGAGTTGTACTGTGGGAGGGGCTGTTGGTTTTACCTGTTTGTACTTGTTGATGGGTCTATAGATATCAGTGCCCTTGACCTGGCCAAGGATGGAGTACTGAGGCCTAAAAATCAAAGACAGAGAAAGGAATGTGGGTTAAGCATTGCTTAATCTGTGCCAGATCCCGCCGGAATGTATTCCGGGACCTCTCTGTTTTTGACTGTCTGCGTTCCGACACCTATTTGAGTGGATCAGGCAGCTTTCTGGTTAAAAAAACAGTAACATAAAATAAAAAAACGACGTATTTTAATTTGCAGACCAATTTCACAGTTTAAATTTCACGCAATTTTATGTCCTTAATTAGTTTAGGTTTATTCTTAAAAAGTTGAGAGATTGAGTGAAAAGCTTCTTGGGTAACGCAGAACTGCCACCGATACACACAGATGTATACACGTAAAATGAGGTATATAATCCTCACAGCTAAGCAAGGGGGCGTTTCAGTAGGCCTACATAGCACGGGTTCAGCACCGTGTTTTGGACGCGTTCCTAGACCTGTGCCTTGCCTTGTTACCCTTCCATTCTCATATGTCCTTTACGTTCCGGCACCTTCTGATTTACACATTAACCACTGGGGTCAAGCAACAGCAGAAACCCAAAGGAACCCATGTGGCCGATGGGTGGAATGCGAAAATTAGTGAGGCAGATGGACATAATTTCAGCTGCTGTCGGAGTTCCTCACAGCTGAGTCCTGAAGATGACGGTGAGTATGGAGAAGGCGATGGAGGCTGCCAAGCCCATGTCGGGGTTAAACAGCACAGTGAGGATCAGGGTGGCGATCCACACAACCTGTGCACAGAGACGAGGACAGTAGTATCACCATCGCTAAGGCCTGAAGAAGATTTAATTAGGAATAATATTAGCCCAAAACTGAAGAAGAAGCTTCTATAATGTGGGACTCTGCTGGATTTTGAGTCTCATGACAGGGATAGTGAGCTATCACCAAGTACAGTGTTTTATTTCTAGCTAATGTTGGGTCTGTCTAATCTCCTCCGAAGCTCATTAGCCCAAACCGATGACGTCCTCACCATGTCCACTCGGTTAGTCCTCCAGAGTATGCGGATGTCACTGAACTGCTTCATCATCCCATGCAGGTTCACGTAAATGATGGCTGCCAGCACTGCCTGTGTGGAGAAGCACGCTTTCAGCTAATTTGAGTTCCCTCCTTTGAGTTGCTCGCTGCTGCAGTACAGTCATATTCACGCATGTTTAAGCAGGCCATCACAGCTACAACACACACAGAGATGTACCTTAGGAAGCTGCTCAAAGAGCTCTCCAATCTTCAACAAAATGATGAGAATCACAAAAGCTGAGATAGCACTAGCCACCTGGTGAGAGACAAACCCAACAGTGACATCAAATGAATGATCCTCAATTTCTGATAGGATCTTCACAGGAGAGCTGGGATTCAGGTATGAAAATGTGCATTTACCAATGTCAATTTTATTCAGAAATACTAATGCTTATTATGCGTATAGGTGTAAATTAAAGAGAAGTGACTAGAAAGGATAGACTGAGATCTATTTTTCTCTTGGCCTATAAAATACAGCCAGACTCTGGTGCCCAAGCCCACACCCCTTTCACTAGACCCTGATGCCTATTCTGTTTTCCTGCGTGCTTCCCTGTTGATGAAGGCGATACACCTGCCTTGTTTTTGGTCCTTCACACCATTCGTTAATCTCATGTCCTCTGCCATACTCATTAAGTTTATGTCCCATCCCCATGCCCCATAGTCCTGTTCACTGTCCCACCTCCTGTAAGTCTCATGTCCTGGTACCTGAGTTTTTCCTCCAGTGCTCTCCTGGACAAGACTGCGGGACATGGAGCAACTGATGGCGAAGCACTGGAACAGCCCTCCAACCGTGTTACTGAGGCCCAAGGCTATCAGCTCCTACACAGGAGAAGAACCATTTATAGCTCTGCTCAAGAATACATGCGTGGAATGGCTTTTAGGAACCAGAGCAGACACTACCTGGTTGCTGTCCACTCTGTAGCCATATTTGAGTGCAAATATTCTGCCCAGGGAAATGGCAATGCCATATCCAACAATGGCCAAAGCGAAAGCATCTCCTATAACCTGTCCAAGAATGGAGACCTCGGGTACCATCGGGGGCTGGAGGCTTAGGGTCAGACAGGGAGCAAGAGCCTCACAACCAGAAAAGAAGGCACTATGCTATTGTGTTGACATTGATTTCAGTCATCCAAGGCAAAGTATAGGGTTCAGTGGCACAGAAAAAGAACACAACAAACAGCACTGATAGTACATAACTTGTTGTAAATTAGTAAGTATTTACAAAACTTTTTAGACAGTGCTTTTATTTAGACTGACTTCAGTTTGTCTGTAGCTGTGCAATCAGGAAGCGGCTATGTTTTTGTAGCTTGTAGTGTGGTGTTACACCCTGTGCCATTGTGATGTCAAACGGCCGTGTGCCTGTGTGTTCTTACCCAGATGGGATGGGTCCCACTACCTCCACTCCATATTTTGTATCTAGGTTGAACTGCCAGGAAATCACTGTGGCTATGATGATCTACGGACAAGAAATTTTCACACATACTTGAAGAAGACTGCAGTGGTGTTGGGTTTAAGGTCCTTGCTTTTGATCTAGGATGGACTGAAAATTAAATGACAGGGGAAACTTGGGCCCCAAGTTTCATTCTCAACAATATGTGTGTGTGTCAAATGAGAGCAAGATGGGATATGCAAAGAGAAACATTTCAGTGTACCTGTACTTGTGCAAATAAAGGATCATTTCATTATATTATTTCATTAAAGTCTGGGTCCAGGAGATCTCTACTCACAGCCAGCAGTTCCACAGGAATGGGTACTGGTAGTTTGCGGGCAAGAAGTGAGTTGACCTCTTTGGCACCAATAAGGCCGACCGTGGTCACAATACTGACCACAAGAGTTCCAATGTTTGTCTTCGGAAGCAAGTAGCAAACATCAATCACCGTCTACAAAGGATTGGTGCGACATAAAAGGTGAGTGAGAGAGTGGGAAATGCAAGTCTGTTTGTATTCAGTATTTCCAACATAAAGTTAATAAGCCATTAAAATCAGCATTTAATACAAATCATGCAAGAATCTGGCTTGTACTATAGTGATGCAGTGATGAATTGTGTCCATTGAAAGTACTAAAAAAGGACATTTCATCCTTTCTGAGGACATTTTATGTCATTATAGTCCTAGATTCAGGATTCAAAGAACCTGGATTCAGGATTCACCCCAGATGTTTGACAGAACCAGTCACCCTTCCTTGATCACCCTCACCAGTTTATTAAATCCACTTGTGTAATAGTTCATGTGTAATCTGTTAAATACCAGTTGTTTTTTTGTCAGTTCATCATGAGGTACTGCTAATGTACTCCATGCTGAACATTTCATGCTGTTGTTCAGATTGATGGTTGCCATTCGTTCATTGACCTACTGCTTGTTTTTTGACTCTGTAATTTGGATACAGATGCTGGTATTTTTCCGCCCTGTCTCATTTTTCTCACTTTGAGTTTTAGTTGTGGCTTCGGCTTTGGTTTATAAACAATGGAATACTTTGTACACGGACTTCTGCGTGATTCATTAAACAATGAGCCACTTTGTACTGTTTTGTATGTTGTACAACAAACATGGTAGCAACAGCACACTTCCTCATTAGAGAAACTGCTAAAATACATTTACTGGCTCTATATATATTGTGTGAGAAAATAATGTTATTCTGATAATATGCCTTAAAAATATGTGTTTTTTTCTGTCCATTGTCCACTGTCTACATTTGCACTACAATGAACAACTGTTTTTGTGTTTTGCACTAGTTCAGTTATTGGTCTGTTCTGCATCTGTGAAATCTGCACATTGCTCTCAGTATTGTGTCCATTGCACTTTGCAGTTTTTTTAACACGGCACTCATATTAATGTATTGTATTAAGACCTCATGTACTGTGTTTTCAGTAAATTTTGTAGTTTCTATTGTATTCTTTAGCTGTTGCATATATAGTACCATTAATTGTTCCTCCTTTGTATCTTGTAAAATTGTCATGTTTGGCACGAAACCACAAACGGTTCTGCTATGTTAGTGCATACTGGCAATAAGGTATTCTGAGCTCTGAGTTATAACACTATGTTTAGACGATGATTACAGACGTCTGCTATATTTAGCTATCACTTAGCTCAGGACTGCCCAGTTCGGCTCCTGGATGGCCAGAATCCAACACATTTTGCAGATTTCCCTGCTCAAATGAATCTTAATCAGCTATTTACCAGGTGTAATAGATAATTCTGAGCAGGGAAACCTGCAAACTGTGTTGGATTTTGGTCCTTTAGGACTAGAAATAGGCAACCATTGCTTAGCTAACATGTTCAGCGGAAGCAACTCAGCAACTTATGCTTGCTGGTTAAAGCATTATTTTACAGATTATGCACCTTGCTGAAGCGTTCCCAGCTATGCATCCCTAGTAGCAACATCCAGATTTGGCATTCTGCGTCCTAAACCACTATAGTCCTGGGAGCCTTAACAAATATGCCATCCAAATCATAATATTAATATCTTTACAATTCTGTTTGAGAACTCCATCTGAAAGATCCACGGAAGGTAATTTTTCCTCCTATTTGTCCAGACAGTTGCAGAGAGATAGAGACCATTCTTTTAAAGTGATAGGAGGGAATACTTACGTAAATCAGGGAGAAAGGCCCGCTGAAACGTTCCGGTTGGATTCCGAAGAAGTATTTGAGCTGGGAGACAATAACATTGATGGCGGCAGCAGTGGTGTATCCCCTGACCAGTGGCTCAGAGAGATAGGTCACCACAAAACCGAACTGCACCATACCCAGCAAAACCTGCAGGCAGATGTGGATGGGTCACGAGGGTGCAAATGGATATGAGCATAAATGTCATCAATGTGATAGTGTGAGCAACTGCATGCCAATACAGTATTATTGATGATTATTATTATTGATGTATGGGGTGATTTGTGACTCAGTGGGTTAGGACTGTGATCGGAAGGTCACTGGTTCAAATCCTGCGCCTAGTAGACTGATTCCTCCATTGCACCCTTGAGCAAGGTCCTTTCCTTGACCCCCAAATGCTCCTGGGGAGGTGGATGCTGTAACTTCCAAATTATATATATATGTGTGTGTGTGTGTGTGTGTGTGTCTCATGGATAGCAAGATGGGATATGGGGAAAGACAATATCCCTACATGGAGGAATAAGCTGTCACTATTTTATTAGTACTAGTATGAGTATGTTCACAAATCAAATCCTCACCAAGAAGGTACAACAACTTACACAGTGCATCGTTTGTATTGGTAATGAATGCAGTCATTTGCAACAGAACACTGCTGGTGTTACGTTACCGCACATACTTCTTATATATTAGCTTAACAGACTTTTTCAAAAGCAGAGTTGTATCTGAATCCTACAACTTGTCCATTCACCCCCCCCCTCCCCCCAATCACAGCAGTCCGACATATAACAGGCATGGTTACCTGTAAAATGCCAGACAGAAAGGTGACCGCAGCGGCGATCTTCACCCTCTCGTGGTCACGGGTATAGGTGTCCATCACACTCGTGTTGGTCACATTGTCCCAAATTAAGAAGTTGGAGTCCGGGGCGATGCGTTCTGTCACCCCTCCGATCATCACGCTCATCACCGCATAGGTGCCTGTAAGGAAAGGGGTCGGGGGGAGTAGAGAATAACACAGACGGTGCATTTAGAGTTTGTTTCTATGCTGTTTCTCAGGGGATAAATGTACAGAAGGACACACAGAACATACAGATTACTTAGCAACAGGAATAATTCATTATCCAGTGCATCGATTCACAAGACATGTGTTACTAGACTAATAGCCTGACAGTCAACTACCCCTGTCAAAAAGCGTTAGTACATCACTAACACCCCATAAAAACAATCAACAGAGTGCAGCTTCTTCAGGTTGAAGTTGTTAAATATTGTCCGCTCTTTACGATACATTATATATTAATTACATTTCTGTATAAAAGCAAGGAAGTAGAAGGAGATCAGTGAATGCCGAGGTAGTTTGGACTCGAGGGGGGTAAATTATTGATTTGGATTGGGCAAATCAGTAGAGTGAAACAGGGGTCAGTGTGGCTGACTGGCCCGGGGCCATCACTGGGGGGGTGGGAGTAGGTAAGTTGTTTTTGTGAAACACAGAAGTGACGCCGAAACTAACCCACTGAGATGTGGCGAGATGTCCCAAAGATGAAGTAAACCAAGATGGGGTAGAAAGAAGAGTAGAGTCCAAAGACCGGGGGAACGGCAGCCAGCAGGGCGTACGCCATTCCTGTGCGTAGACACACTCATTGGTGAAACACGTTTCAGAAACAGCCATTGGGCAAATTGCAGGGAAAAAAGTGGGGGTGCCATGACGAACACAATAGCTTGATATATAATTTCCTAGCATGATTTATATCTGTATTAGTCAATCATTAACTAAAATACAACTAGTGATATAGTAAACGTTCAGTGCTATAATTGGTCAGTCTTCCACTCTTGTGCAATATCCACATTCTGCACCTTGTCATTCATAAGCTAATACATTAATTGCCCAGTTCATTAAACAGAAGCGCATTATAAAGGTCATAGAATGAACCTGCTTTTAATTTTTTAGCTTGATACAATTACAGTACTTTCTATTTTAGTGCTATTCATGGTTTCTCCTGCACGTCAGGGATGTGCGAGAACTGTCAAGTTAGCAGGTGTGGCCCATTTGCGGGCTGGATCGGCCTGTCTCACCCTGGGGCAGGTGCATGATGCCCACACTGATGCCTGACACCAGGTCTCCGATGGCCCAGTCCCTCAGCGAGTACCGGCGCAGCCAGGAAACAATAGGAACACAGCTCAGCATGGAGCGTTTCACCCTGGGCCCTGAACACCTGTGGGGTCACGGGGAAACAGAAACTGAGACAAGCCGATACCAGGGAACACTGATGCACTGGGATCAGGACAGACTGGTTCTGGAATTCATTGTCATTAAGGCAGACTGATACTGAGATGCACTGAGATTAACAGGCTGGGTCTCCCTGGGACATAAAGGCACCTTTTAATATCCAGCACATTGAACACTCGACATTCTGAACCATATTTAAGAACAAAACGGCGAATATTGCCTCAAGGCTGTGTCTCTGTGGTTAGGAATAAGCCGTCATCAGATGTGGCTTTCCCTACTCTTAACATCCTTCTTTTAACGAATGATGAAAAACTTATGATTAATCATAGAATTGTCTGTTACGAAACTCCAGTTATGAAATTCCATGATAAAAACAATTCCATTGTCACTATCCGGTTATGATCAAGGGGAATCAAATCCTAATGAAGTTGTCATTTTCTATAAAATAATCCTTAGGCAGGTCACACCTTGAACGGCATGCCCGCTCACCACAAATCACACACAGATGGTGGCCTCAAATCACCTCTGTTAGTGAACAGTGTGTTCACGTGCATGATATATACAAGATATACAAGACACGTATGCATCTGGAACCGTATTTGCAAAGTTGTGATGCAGCAACATGACCCACTGTACATCCCTATTCTTTATCATTATGATTTTAGAAACGCTGTTACTTATTTAGCAGATTTTTACAATTGATTAGAACTGAAAAGGCAGCATCCGAAGGTCCCCAGAGCAACTGAATAGCAAATTTCCAAAACTCACCAACTCCACAGAAATTTTCTTAAAAATGTAGCCAATGGACAGAATGAGATTTTGTTCTTTATTTGGGGTTAAGGGCCTTGCTCTGGGCCCAGTGGTAAAATTACTGAAACCCGGGGATTTGAATCAGCGACCTTCCGATCACAAGCACAGTGTCCAAACCCGGTGTTTCCCAATCCAGGCCTTGGGGACCCCCAGGCGGTCCACGGTTTTGTTCCCTACTCCCAACTCCCGGGAGGGTAGAGCACAAAAACGTGGACTGTCTAGGGTTCCCCAAGGACCAGTTTGGGAAACACTGTCCTAACCCATACTGAGCTACACATAACTCTCTATCAGATTTTCCCAAAGCAACATACAAGTGAGACAACTACCACAATATAATTTTTTCTGTATTGGCCATGGAATTAACCCCCAGATCAACTGCTTGAAAGGCAGCTATGTAAACCACTATACCACCAATGATGAAATATAGCAGCCTGATACTATTAAAGGTTTTTAATTTATCCCATTAACACCACCACTGTGATTCAAGACTTAATAATACAGGAAGGTAATTTCATACCACATGTAAAATAATGGTCAATAACTACAATATTTCACAAAGCTTGTGTTTCATGTCAATTGCATAGTTTAAATGACACATTTTGCAGAAACCTCACACGGCAATGAATCCCTCGAAATGGCAGCTACACCAAGTGAACTGGCCAGATTAATTTGTCAACACATGCCAGTTATACTTAAAGGAACAAGTATGCAGGTACCATGGAGGTTATGATCTCTGTTGTGTGTAGGGCCAAAGAAAGCACAACAAGCAGGTTGGAAAGCCAAGGCATTGTGTAATGCTTAAGACAGAGAGATGATAGACCAGTGCATGCCTGAGAGGGGGGCGCTGGGTCTCTAACAGTCTGGATCAAAGTCCAAAATTCTCAGAGAGCCATGGACAATGGAGGAAGTAAACTCAGAAGGAAAAATGGCAATTGATGCGAGTAGGGAAAAAAATCCATGCTACAGTATTCCTACCTCAGTGACTTCTTTATCTTTTCTGAGAGGGGAGTCTTGGCATCTGATTTCTCTGCCAATTCCTCCACATTCTGCTCGTCCAGCACCTCACGTTGAATTGCGTACCCCACGCGTCTCTTCTGCTCCATGGCTGGGGTGCTGACTCACAGTGTCGGTGTTTGATGGTGCTCTGCTCGTCTCCCACTGAAGGATGCCCTACCGTCCCTTCAGGTCAGCCGATCACCTTCAAAGACCTTCCTCTTCAGTCTTCGGTTAATGTGTATGCTGACCTTCAGCATGTGATCGCATGGGCTGCGAACACATACGCAGGTATGGCACGCACACACCCGTAGGAACACACATATACTCTAAGTCCCTTAGAAGTACAGAGCAAAGTCCCCAGAAAAAATATCCTAGTTGAAGCTGGCAGCAGTGCACAGTGAGACGGTCCTTTTTGTACCAGCAGTTTAGGGTGTTATCATCTTCCGATTAGATAGCAATCAGTATTTGAGTCAAGTCAGGGAAAATCTTAATTATTTCACTTACCTATTAATCATACCATGGGCATCATATATCTTCTTTACAAAACCAATAAGGCAATCAATACATTTGAGACTATCTGAGATAACCCGTGTTTTTAGTTTGCAATTACAGGTCGTCATCGACTTACGACCGGTCGTAAGTCGGCCCTTTATTTTATAGGCAAAAATGATCGTATGTATAGTATAGTATATAATTAAATTATAATATCTTTAAGTCATATTGTTTGGTGTTTTTAAAAACATTTTTATCACCATTTGCTGGCACTGCCGGCAGTTGGGACGGAAACTGTCAGACCCTCGCGCTGCCAGACGCGGCGCAGTCGCGGCAGCCTGCCAGAGTCGCCAGGACCGCGGTTTTCCCGCCCAGTTGGGCTATTTCGAAAATACAGTTGCAGGTAAATATTAGAAGATCGCGGGTTGTGGGTTTTTGGGCTGCTCTTAAGGGGAAACGAATTCATTATTAAGACTGCGAGCGGCTCCTAATTCTAAGTAATACTGAATCGCTAACCAACGAAAGTCAGAGACAGACCTACACGGAAACTCTCACGTATCTGGCGTGACTGTCACGCTTTCAGACTCTCACGCCTTACGGAAAATCTATTTTATTTCATTATATACCTAAAATTAGCTACATCAGAAGCATTGGGGGCAGTGTGCAAACCCTATAGATTGTTTCCAATGTAATAAAACTGTCGACATACATGGAAGTGCGTGTGCATGTGTGTGCAGACTAATCTCGAACTGAAAATGTCATTCCAGCCAGCTGACCCAAGTTGGCAAACCTGGGGAAGGAAGTCCATCTACTTGATGTCATTGTGTTTAACTCTACTTTTAAAATGTTGAGCATTTGAATGTGACCAGCATGCAAAATACTGGATTATTTATTTGAGGTACATTATACTGGGATTTGAAATATTGGGCTAGTTTCAGCTTCCGTTGGGAGGATTAAACACAAAGAATATTTACAATGATGCAGATTAGAAAACAGCACACAGAAGAAAATAGTGTGGTCTTCATGAATTCAATATTGATCTTGTGGAAGGAAAATTCTTGATGAATCACTTTATTAATATTTGTGTTAGTGTTTTAGTTTGAGTCATTGACATTTTACAGTCTATTTTTCAGCAGTACAAATTTATGGTTAAAAAATAAATGTTCCGATATTTTATATATTTGAATGTTCAACTGGTATTTAATATCAATAAATGAACAAAGACTCTAGAATCTCTAGATTGAAGAAAAAAATAATTTCGGGGAAACAGTATCTGAAGTTTGATGTAACAAAACAAAGTCTTGGTTAGTCCTCAGACGACAGAAGTTACTTTGAATGATAAAACTCGTACACAGGGTTATTGTGATAACGTGCGGCTTAAGGAGAAACCAGAAGCACTAAAGCCAGCAGTCGATTATATAAATCCTTAAAGGGTTTTGGACTTCATTCCCATGAGCATGCCTAGCGCAAAGGCCCTAATTATTAACAGCTCTGTCGTCACCATCCCCTTTGGCATTTCTCAGCTTGTCTTCCTGTCATAACCTCACAAAGGCACACTGGTAAAGAGCCCCGAGCATCACATCATGACACATAATAGACCTACTAAGAGTGAGTGAAGCGCTGGTGACAGTCACACCCATTCACCCGGTCCAGAGCGGAAATGAGTTTCCACATGTGAATGAACACCCTCTTAAAAAACAAGCACATGAGGAGTGTCTGTTGCAGCTTTCTACCATTGCAAATGTGCAGTGAAGTCTGAAACACAGCTGGCATTCATTGATGTGTAGCACTGATTGTTCTATGTTGACATGTTCAGCATCAGCTTTTCCCTTCATGCGGCATCTGTTTCCTTCACGGAGGCCAGCTGTAGGCCTTGCAGGTCTCAGTGCTGCCTTTCATTTGGGATCACCAGTCTTTGAGGTTTCCTACCAATCACAGAACAGGGCGATTCCACGCAAAGCTCCACTTGATGTCTGTTAGACTGCTATGCAATCCTAACATGTAAATTAAAATATGAATTATGAGGATCTGTCTATATTCAACCCAAGATGTTACATAAAAGGATATGCAAGTTGATTAATTGATACCAAGCTTGTCCATGCTGTGAGGCATTTTGTTTGCCAGTATGAGTCTAAATGTCACAGCCATAACGTTAGAATCTCTCGTTAAAGAACAAAGACGTGAAAGGATAGGCCTGCAGGGCATCACGTTCAGACTTACAGGCTCACAGCCGAACAAACCAGACACATTTGCTGAAGTAGTGCATGTGCTAGTCTGAAGGAGAAGTTAAAAATTAGTGCAAAAACAAAAACCCAAAAAGGTAAATGATTAAAGAGAGAAACAGCTGACAATAAAGAGGCAGAAAAAATATCGAAATTGTCTTTTCCTTGGTGCTAGAACATTCACCTACACTCAGGTCAAAGGTCACCCACAAGTGACATGGACCATCTCATCGGGCTATCCATTACAGTGTCTGACAAGGATCATCTATTGGGCACCCCAATAGGTTAATCACATCCAGTATGTATCTAGCAATCACACAGTAGTTAGCATTCATTCAGTTAGCCTAAAGCTACCTATGGAACTTAAAACTTGTCACGTTTGAATTTTTACAGCATCATAATTTTGCCGTTCTCTTAGCTCACACCTAGCTTGGAGCTCGCCTTTTAACCAGGTAAGAATTGTAGACACCCAGACTCTGAATGCCTGTCCAAAAAACCCAGGTTATTTATAGCCACTCTCTTGTGTTTTTTCTTTCGTTTCTCATTTATGACAGTTTGACTCAACAGGTCAACATTATGCCCGATGGCAGTTAGAACACAAGACAGAACAATTTAACTGCATTTTCACCCTAAAATGAACAACAGTGTCCTGAGAGGCCACTGACATTGAAGGTTAAATGTCAGAGGTCAAAGGTGATGTGAGAAGCTGGGAAGACTCACAGGAGTCACCATTTGAGTCCTGGAAACAGATGTCTATACTCTGAGAGATGGAGAGACAACGTAAATAAATAGGGAAAAGGGGGGTAAAAAGATTTTTTTTTTAAAAAAAGCAAGTGATCTGGGAGCCAACTCTGAATCCAACAAAATGACCTGAATGTGAGACCTGGAGAGAAAGAAAACAGTCAGCAGTGAACTGAGTCACTACCACCCCTCCCTCCCACCCACCCGAAATACATAATCACATGCGGAAATGAAGGAAATGGCATCTCCACATCAAAAACACTAAGGCAAATAACAGCAGTAAAACCCCATTCGCCTGAGTCATTGTACACAAGTGACATTTGACTGTTATCAGTTGTGCTGTTATAATCATTAATGAGTGTCTATTACACAACAGTTTTGGTCTTATATGCAACCTGAACTTTAGGCCGCAGGATATAAAGGTAGCAACCTGCAAGGCTGCAAGTTGCCAATTGCGCCATAGTATTAAGTACACTAGCTGAATTGCGGAAGTAAAATATCCAGTTCGTAGAAAGTGACTTTGCATAGTGGCATCAGATTAATTGAATTACTATGTGCCGCTATAGATAAACTGTTATTAAAAAAAAAAAAATTTTTGATGACTGGAGGCTCCCAATCCCTGGGTTGAAGTTTCATAATCCCACCTCCAGTCCATGTTTGTTTGGGACTCACTTGCCCTTCCCATGTGAATTTGGTTTCCTTCCTCCCTTTCAAAGAAATACAATTATGCAAACTGGCATCTCTAACTCACCCAGAGTCTGTGTGCCCTGCAAGGGGCTGCCATCCAACTGAGAGTGTACCCTAACTTGCGCCTAGTGTTGAGGAAATTATACACAAAAGTAATCCATCACAGAGACGGAAAGTTCAGGTCCAGAAAGTACAAATCCAGAGCATGATTTTGTTTCACCCAACCAGCTGAGTACTCTGTGATTGTGATTCTTTTTACTCAACGGGTTGGTTGAAATGAAGCCTTGGTCTATACTTGTACTTTCTGGACCTGAACTTTCCACTCCTATAATGAATTGCTTTTGTGAGTAACTTCCCCAACACTGCTTGTGCCCCACTGACCCTGTTCGGGATAAGTGGTTGGAACACAAATGGATAGATCAGACCCGGTGTCAAGGTCGGACATGGTCGGGTTCAGCCCGCCCCGGGATGACCTCAAGCCCCCCCACTCACCTGGCCCGTCAGATGGGAAGACAAGTTTCCAAAAATAAATACATACATATTGTATACATAGTAAAAATAAATAAATGAAAAGCGGAATTCCATGTTGATATCAACAGCAGTTAAACACAATAACTGACTGCTTAAAACGTTGATTTGGAGGTGGGTGGAGACTCAGTTTTCTGATAGACTAGCGTACAATTATAGGATATTGAGCGCAAATCTGAATAAATGTGGTAAAATGGACATTCGGCTCTTCTGACAGGTCAGATTAAAGAAGTTTTAAACGTAGGCCTTATACGTTTTGCCTTTTTTTTTAGCAGCCCCTGACTGTATATTATATGTTTGTGTTTTTATTTGCGGTAACTAACGTCATGACGTACAGCTTAAAAGCAGACTCCATGGTGGTTGTGCTGCCTGTGGTTTTGACATGTCAGTTAGTCCCTCTCTTCACCAATGAGTGTCAGTCAGTTGCATCTTTAACACTGTCATACAGTATTACTAGTATTACTCTTGGTGAGTTAAAAGGTGTCCCCCCCTCACATACCACACATAGCCCATCTGGAATAATGTTACTAGTGCCAGAGCTGTCACAGGGCTCAATAATGTGCTACATTGCCCCACTGCCCACTCAGCATGACAAACACACACAAATTACGCACAAATAAACGAATACACACAAATTACGCACAGCTATCACTTCCTATGGACTCCTGATTTAACTACGGTTAACAACCCCAGCCACAAAACTAATTTGTGGGAAAACAAGAAAACAAATATCCAGATATCTTAAAAGCACATGAATTCTCGCAATATGCATTTTTCAGATATGCTATGTGACGTGGATAGATGTTTGTGCTCACAATGTAGTTACACATTACACAGGCACATAAAAACACACACGGTCTTAACATGATTTGCCCAATATGTAAACATTTTAAAGTTCCTGTTAATCATCTATGTTATGCATACAGGCAACACTAGGGCTCCATGTGAAGCATGTCACAAAAAACTACATACAGTCCAGTCAGGCTTCTGCTAGGACAGCTTGTTCATCATCACATCATCCACGAACACGTTCCACTAAGCCTGAGAACCAGATGGATTTAAGTGTACAAATAATTTTTTACTTACTTTTGAACAGTATGTCTATTACTTTATAATTTACAACCTATCCAATACCTTTTTGTTAAATGGTTTGCTTGAAAAGTGTGTTTAAGGTATCTATCATTAACACAAATTCAGTTTTATATGACATTTTGTTATGCATCTGAAATTGTATTGTTCTATAAAAATATGGTGTCTTCAACATCATTATTGATCTAGCATACAAACAGGTTTGGCATCCGTAGAAACAAAGTATTGATTTTAGCAACTTAAGAGCAAAGAGTGTTTGGCTACAAAATATAAACAGTAAGGCATATACACCATTGACCTACATTGTGCAATGTGTGAACAGCGTAGCCATACTTAAAGGTGAATGTTCCAGCCGTTCAATCACAGCTGGGCCCAGGGCTGGAATGACAAGGCAGAGAAGCAACAGTCTGGTGTGGAGTGTTAGAAACATGCATTTTAATTAATTTCAGATATATAAATATAAGCTGAAATATATATGCACCCCAGTCTCCCTTTGCCACATATTAAAATAACCGAAAGGTAGCTGGTTAAAAGTCAAGAAGAGGTTTGCACTCGGGTGAGAATCGCATCTGAACTTTCCTAGTATCCATTATATATGTAATTCTTTGTAATTGTACACTAACCCTAGTACTATACTAATCGGATATTTTTCCTTAGAAATTCATATTTGCAGGTAGGATTGCAGCCAGTACAACTTTTCTAGGAAAAGGAAAGAGGGCAGAAAAGCACAGATCCTCCCTTATAGACATTTACTCATATTATTTAATATCGTGAAATTCCCAAAACTCATGCGGCAGCACCCAGCATGTGGTAATTATAGATGTGACTAAAACACTATTCGTAAGTACTGTAAACTAACAAACACTGAAACATAGGTATGGATGCGCGTGTTTTTATATGTGAGTGTGTGGATGTGTGCAGGTTTGTACTGACTCACCACGAAGAGACTCATCAGATTCTTGCCTGCCTCTTGGATCATCGTAGAGACCCCCAGAGCTCCCAGGGACCAGGGGTGTTCTAGGGGGGGGGGGGGCAGTGTCCCTGTGCCCCCCCTAAATACGTTGTGTCTGAAATATATGTATTATTACTATTATTGTATTTATTATTTACATTTATATGTGTAAGCTAATTTTTTTTTTGCACTGAGAGCAGGATAAACACAAATGCAAGCACATTTTAGGACTCTGGGTGGGTCATGTGTGCTGTGCGGTCGAGTTGCAAGAAAAAATAATCAAGCTCGTGGAAGCAAGACAGTCTAAACAATAAATCAGAGTGAGTTACATAATTCTAAAAACATTAAAATGTGACTGCATAGGATTGTATAAATAACATATCGGTTTTCAAAATTGTATTTTACTTCTTAATGCTGGAAATCTAGTATAAGTAAAACTTGGAGGACATTAAGGTCAAATACATCTGGCCCCCCTAACAGAACAACTGGCCCCAGTCTGCCCCCCCCTCAGTTGAAATGGTCTACCTTCCACTAATAGGAAATATATATGAAGCCTGGGAAAACATATTAGCGAGAATCTGAGTGGAACACAGCATGTAAGATTACAGGAAGGCAGACAAAAGGACACAGACACAGAAAGGCAAGCAGACACAGACAGTGTTCTCATCCGGCCTGACATTGCGAAAGCCGAACGTGTCAACCCAAGAGGTGGGGGAGCTGGGGGGGGGGCAGCCGCTGTACTGTAGCTGTTCACCGGGGTCTGAGAGAGCATTCATTGGCAGGACTGTCATCACAAACACCCTCAACACCAAACCTATAAAGCCAGGCCAAATTAACATCTCTCCACAGTGCATACAAATCCATTCCCCTATAAATGCCCTTCCAAAATCCACCCCCTACTCAATCTAACACATTTCTCATCACACTGTCAGGAAACTTCACCCGTTTCCTTCCTGAGTCTCTAATTTAATCTATATATATCTGCAAGAAATCAGCCTCCCGTTCTGTGGTCACAGGGACCTGATCCCGTCCCTGCCTGAAAGGAACACTGTCTTCTCTGGCCCAGGACGTCAAACTGCCTCATCCAGTATGGGTGGGTCATGCATACCAAACATCTACCTGAGGTTAATGATAGAAGCCTTCAGCTGTTCTTGCTGCAATTTCAAACAAAGGATTTGAAGGTGAAAATCAGATAGGGTGTTCTCACTGTCCCTACAAGCAACAGGTGAATCATATTTAGCTTGTGCGTACATCACAGAACAAAGGCTGTTAATTCAGTCATGAAGTTTAAGAGGATAAAAAAGTCTCGTCCGAGTTGTATCATGAACACAATACCGCTACGATTACATTCCTGCGGAAATGTTGTAACACTATTGCATGAAAGTGAGCACTTCATCTGCTTTCATCTTGTGCAGTTTAATTCAAAGGCACTGTAGCATTCACCAGCGGCTGATATTGAAATTCTTATTAGTAAATGCTAATCAGAGGCATTGATCCGACGCTGCATACCGTATATCGTGTTTTTGAGCAGGAACCAAAGACACTGGATAACTTAACGAAATCACATTCTTTTATACTCTTTATTGTGAAAGTTAGCATTGTTTCACAAAGAATTCTTTATATTTGTAACAGTTGTGCATACAATTTCAGTATGTTGCATTCAGTTAGGTGAGGCTATATGAGAGGTTATTTTATATTCAGAATGCAAAGAGAATAAACTCCAAACAACTCAAAAAAACAAGTAGCAAACAGGCAATCTTTCAGTTTTATGTGTTTGCTGGTAAATTTTATTGTGCATTAATCTGAAATAGCCTTCCCCTTATCTAATGTATGGCGACCTCAGGAGCAGAGTGTTTGCCAATCGTCCTGTGGAGTAGGCAGCACAGGGCGTGGTGTCTTGTGGATTATTGCCCAAAGCCCATATAACGCTCCCAAAGCCTGTGATTCCCACCGCAGCGTTTCGTCAGCTGGTGCATGCACGCGGCAGTGGGGTGTGCACGCGTTCTGCTCACGTGGACTGGTTCAGCCGCTGGGTGTGCACCGGGGGGTGCATAGAGGTACAGACTGTTGCCGTGTGCTGGCACCAGATTGTGCTATGCAACAACCACACCTAAAAGCGTTAAGAGCAAGGAGAGCTGAATCTTGTCACATCCAAATTCCTAGGCCACTTGTTCTTCTCAGTCTCTGTGTGCCTATGGATATCTTGTCCATTTCCCTCCTCTCTTTAGGGTGGGGGGAGTCAGGTCTAATTGGATGGGTGACCCCATGATATGGTGACAGCTTCCATCTTACATCGCCACTGTCGACAGCAAGCACCCCACTGACGAAGCTAATTAAGAAGTCTACGCATAATTAGGAAAGCCACCATCATGGACGGAGTGTAACTTGGCAGGTTAAGGATCCGTGGCTGTATCCATAAGGTCTTGGGTTCAAATCCCATGGGCAGCAGCCTAATGACACCACTGCTGGGCGCTCGAGCAAGGCTCTTAACCCAAACTGCTTCAGGGATGCTCTTGTACTCTGACCCCAAGCTTTCCTCACCTCCCTGTCACTTTCGACAAAAGCATCGGCTGAATAAATAACATGTACCAACACATGATTGGTACTATCTGTACAACACAGGTATATACGCTAACTGTACATGTACTGTACACTCACAAACCATATCCTCTGCACAACACGCACAAATAAGCCAACAAACAAACCAAAACTGTGGTGGAAACACTGCATTGTCAGTATGGTGGTATCCAGTAGGAACTACTGTCTGGGATCTCTGACTGCTCTGTACTGTAGCTGAGGACCGAATCACTGAACAGGAAGCAAGGGCTCGGCTGCGGCCCTGGCAGTCAGTTTTGGACCTGGCGCGGTAGCGAGATGCGCTCAGCACGGCCACGAGTGGACAGGTGCAGCGGGAGCTGGAAGAACGAGAAGGTGAAACTGCGTGAGAAGCTGGTGTTGGTGATGGGCCGCAGAGGGGGCAGGCGGGGCGGGCGGCATTGGGGGAGAGGATTACGGAACACTTTCGTGAATTTATCAGTGCCTGGGGGTGTGACAGCTAGGGGGCTATGGGCGGGGCTTATAGCTGGGACTCCCATTGGCTCGGGAACGTGTGGGCTGTCCAATGGCAGTGGTACATGAGTGGTCGGAGGGGGAAGGTCGATGCGCGCAAAGGAGGGCTCAGACAAAGACTGGACTTCCCAAGCCGTCATGCTGGGGTTCAAGACCTTGGGGGCGCCTTCTCTCCTCCCAGGCTTAGGGGGCTGTTGTCGTCCCGCGCGACCAAGCTTCACTGTAGATGGTGGAAAAGATCACAAAAAAAGACTGAGCAGATCAACACAGGCATCAAACGACTGGGCACAGGTGAAGATGGCAGGACCTGATGGAGAGAGTGTCCCTCAGATTTGGCTGGGAAACATCATGCAAATTGCACACTTGCTTTGCATTTTTAACAGCCAATAAAGCAGGTGTTCTGATGGGATATAAGGGACTGGGTGTGCCCCCCCCTCAATTCCACCTTCTGTCACCCTGTATGGGCCGATGCCACATGCACAGACGGTGGACCCTGGCACGGGGGGTGTGACTGGCACGGCATTACTGCTTCTCATGGCTGTTCTGTGCTGCGTGTCCATATTTCATGGTTACCGCTCGTCCCTGGCAGTGACTTCGAAGGAGGATGATAACAAGGATGATGGGAAACAAATGGTGAGCTGGAGGAAGGAGCGCTTCCATGGTAATGCAGAACAAATGCAGCATGACGCAGCCTGCGTGTATTATTACCCGCACTCAATGCATCACACAAAGCCCTCAAACTGTGCTGTATAATGGGATTGATTCATACCATCCGTGTCAGGGTTGGGGTGGATCGGATCCCATCCCAGGAAGCACAAGGCACAGAACAAGGGTACACCAGTCCATCATAAAGCACCCTTACAAACTATGGGCAATCTAGAGGCACCAGTAAGTCTAAATGTAGGTCTTTGGACAGCCGGAGGAAACCAGTGTCCAGAGAAAACACAACAACATGAAGAGAACATGCAAACTCCATGCACACAGAACAGAGGTGGGATTAGAACCTCCAAACCCGGAGGCAAAGGCCACCAGGCCATCCTACCACCGACTGATTTATACTGGTTTACCATTTTGCACCACAACCATACTACACCTGGTATCCTATTTCCTGGACACTCATCAAGGGGAAGTCTGTTCTGCGATATCACTTGTTCTGTAGCCTGAAGTTAGAAGCCAAAGGTCAGTAGAACAACATTTATACTTAAAGGTACACATACACATATTAATGCACGTTACCTATTGATACTTTAAGAAGCAGATGAGGTTAAGTACCTCACCACAGTTTCGGCATACTATTGCTAAACATCTCGATCATAAAGTCAATCCCATAACCACTTCACTATTGTTTTGCCATTGCCTGTGCGTGTGTGTGAGAGACAGATCATTCCCCATTACAAATCACACAAGCTACCAAAAAGGTATTTTATTACACAGGTATGAGATGCTAGTTTTTGTGTGGAGTTTTACCGGTCTGACATGGCTGGAGCGGACGAAGGATTCTTTAAGAGGTGCCTTCCTTTTCCAGGAACTGAGAGAGCTTTCGCCGACCTCGGGCACTTGGCCTCTGCCTTTCTGGAACATTCCTTCCAATATTTTTCAAATATTTCCCTGCTCTCTCAGCCCTCCCTTTCATTAGGTTCTGGGGTATTTCCACTGCAAACCCACAATAAAGAACATGAGTTCATGTCCAGATGGAGCGAGCATATGACAGGAGAATCCCACCACTTACCACTAAACAAAACTAGGACAATGCTACCTTTAAGCCATCTCTCTTCCAAAACCATCTGACTACTAACTGCTTCAATAAAGTAAAAAAAAAAAAGACAATCATACCATTAACCTCTCACTCTAAAAAATAAAAAACGAGGGAATTACTAACCTCGCTCTCGCTCTCCCCTCTGCGCTGACCTGGCAAGCAAAGAGGCGTGATGGACAAAAGGGAGCCTCAAACTCCATAAAAAATTCATGTACCACAAACAGTAAAGAGTGGTGTGAGCATGACTACCAATGTCCTCCATTCACCCAGAAACCCCAGCAGAAGAACCACCAGTGAGCAGCCTTCATAGCAGTGGCCAGAGTCTGGTTATTTCATTTACAAAAAGCATGTTACATTTTACAGGGACAATGTAAAAAATATACTTTATTTTAAAATTAGCATGCAAATGTCAGCACTTGCTCATCTTGACAGACAATGTGACTCACAGTATGAAAAGGGTGAGTTTCTTTGAAGATGACACATTTCGCATCTCTTCCACAATCTTATTTCCCGTCGCCTTCCGCTTCCAGCCGCAGCAACTGTAAACCCTGTCCGCAAACAGCCACCCAGGTCTGCCTCTCTTCTCCTTGCCACGCTGTTAGTCCTGCGATATCGGCCACATGCGAGAACAGCACCCCCTGGTGGCGCAAAGAGGAACCTCGGCGGTCCCACAGGGAGATGCGTTGATCCGGGGAGGCAGAGATGAGGAGTCTGGGACCCAGGGGTATTAAAGCTGTCAGGGGGGCTGAATGGGCCAGAGGCTCCACAGACCTAGCATACAGGTTCAGAGTCAATCCACTGCCCTCTACCTCCTTGGAATGGAACTGCACTTGGATACAAACAGCTGACAATTGTCCGTCGTCTCCTCCACTGGCCACTGTCATCCAGTGCCCCCCTGCCTGAGACAATCCCTGATCATCCCAGTGCCCCTCCCACACTGCTAGTGTGTTTACTCCACTCTGATGTGCTGGAAACGTGAGGCAAGGACTAGGTGGATCTGAAATACACAGAACCACAGAGAGAGTGAGTGACACACCTACACACACAAACATATATATATATATATATTTTAAATTGCTTGTATCTACCCTTCCAGCAGGTGTCAGAAGAGGGTCCATTCTCCAGATTTCTGACTGTATTTGTATCCCAAACAGCTATCACACCATCGGTTGCAGCACTGAAGAGAAACAACCTCCTGGGGGGGGGGGGGGGGGGGGGGGGGGGGGGGGGGGGGCAGGTGGAAAGAAAATACAATAAGCATTAATTTGGCTACAAATAATAAAATAATAAAAGTCAACAAATGGATGGAGAACAATATCCTTTTCACAGAAGGTCAGTTTCAATGAATTTTGAGCTGAATTGTGGCAAAATTATTGAAGGTTATTTACAAAAAAAGACTAAAAATACAGTAGATAAAAGATACATTCCTAAGAAAAATACAGTGTCTGATACAATTCTTCTGTTTATGATATTTATGTGATATAATTCAGTTTTAGAATTTGATGTCTGGGAGGCAGATAAACCAGACTGTACACCTTTATGGGAGCGATTAGTAAATGATAAAAAATGTCACAGTAATATCCCACTATTTTGTGTCTCATCACTCACTGGCAGCCCTGTGGGTCCTTCAGGAGGTAGGTGGCGACACTGAGCACACATCGTTGGTGGTAGAAAGTCTCCCACAGAAGCTGAAAGCGGCCACTGGTTTCAGTCAATGAGAAAAGCCTGACCATAAAAAGAGAAAAAAATTATATACACACAGAAAGCACCACTCCCACGCCTGTTTGACCTCCACTCACCAGGTGGCGCTTTCAAATGTCACGGTAATTCTGTATGACTGCATATGCCCTTCTTGGTAAAGTAATGCACTTTGTCTGATTTCAGCTTAATGCCCCTCAAGAGCTTAAGTGAATGTTCTGCTTGTGGTCGCCTGTCATGTTTTGAGTCACGCAGACTTGGTGCATGGTTCCTTAATTACACATATCAGCCCAATGTGCAGCCCACGTGACGGGCGTTACAAAGCTGGAGACCTCTTACCTCAGGGCTCCGTCACTGCAGGCCGCAGCCAGAAGGACCCCCTCTGTTCCGTCAGATACCACCGCCAGAGACATGTACCTGCACGGGGTAGGAGAGTTGCTCTGAAATCATGCCAGAATACTATACTATCTCTCACACAATTACTACGATTTTATTGGTCAAAATTGTATGTTTTCAAACGCTAGAAGCAATGAAAGCAACAAAAGCACCCCCCCCAATTGCAAAATGACTGCCATAAACTGAGATGTGGATTGCAGATTTGTATTCACAGACACTTCATGTACAGTAGCAATCAAAAGTCTGGACACACTTGCTTTTAGTGCACTTGTCTCTATTTTAGCTATGCTATTCACCTTATAATAAAAGCCAATGAAGTAATTCAATTTTCAATTCAAGAATCGCAACAGTCATGTTCATCCATCCATTTTCTGTAACTGCTTGTCCTTTTCAGGGTCGTGAAAGGGTCTGGAGCCAATCCCAGAGGCTATGGGCACAAGGCAGGGAATAACCCAGGATGGGGCGCCAACCCATCGCAGGGCACACTCACACAACCTTCACTCATCCACGCACACCTATGGGCAATCTGGTAACTCCAGTTAACCTCAGAATGTTTTTGGACTGTGGGGGGGGGGGGAACCAGAGTACCCAGAGGAAACCCCACAACAACACGGGGAGAACATGCAAACTCCACACGCATGGAATCCTGGCAGAGACCTGAACCCAGGTCCCAGTGGTGTGAGACCACAGTGCTAACTACTGCACCACCATGACGCCCCATGTAATATTCAACAATTTTCTCAAATTTTACATTCTTCAAAATAGCCACCTATTGCTTCTCCAACAGTCCTGAAGGATTTTCCACAAGTTCTAGGCACGAGTTGGTTACCTATTCTTCGATGAAACTCATCCCAAACCAGCTCTACGGGGTTTAGGTTAGGGGATTGTGGGGGCCAGGTCACCAATCACAGCACTCCGTCTCTTCTTTGTTCACAAGATAATACTTACTCCATAACCTTGAGCTGTGTTTAGGATTTTTTTCAATCTTGTTGAAAAATAAATGATTTTCAGTAGGTGTGTCCAGAATTTGAGAGGTACTGTATCCCTTAATTAAAATGAAGTGGTTTCTGACTAAATTCATGTTTGTGAATTTTCTAGATTACTGCAGGTAGTTCACTTGCCTGGTTTCAGGGTCCATTTTCACAGTCTTGTGTCGATTCCGCCTCCGTTCCCATTGCTCATCCAACCGGTGACTAGCTACCTGGATCACCTGACAAGAAGGCAAACCCAGCTGTCCATTCGCACCAATCAGGAGTCTGTAGCACTGTAGCTGGGCCCGCCCCCCGGCAGAGAAGAGCAGGACAGAGAGGAGTGGCTTGGTGTCATTCGCCTCCCTAGCACCTGGCCTCCGAACGACCGCTAGTGCACGGATGCTGGAGATGTGATCAGTGATGAGCGCCAGGACCCTGAGAGCCCTGCTCCGAGGGTCGATCGTCAACACAGTCAAAGTTGTGTCCTCTCCACCTGTTGCCAGGATCTCCCAATGCTGCCTGGCGACCCGGACGGCACCTAGGTGGCACACACAGGTGACACCCCTACCGTGGATCCCTTCCTTCAGCTCCCAACCTCCCTGCTGATGGAAGGTCTCCTCTGGGGCACGAGAGGCCATGACTGCTCCGTGCTTCACAAACACTACTGTGCCTGCACCGTCGGCACCTGGGCTCTGGGGTAACCAGTAGCTCCAGGACCGGTGCCCCCCCCCACAAGGCACTGACAGGAGCCGCTCCTGCCGGACCAGGTCCCAGACAACGAAGTAGACTGAGTGGAACCCCAAGATCAACCTCACCTCCCCTGCATGGCGCTCACCATGCTCCCCCTCCACTGGATTCACCTCCGGGTCCAGAACCATAATCCTCTCCAGCCACTCCATGCCACGGCAGGCCCGCTGTACCCTAAGCACCTCCAGAGCACTGGCATCCAGCCGGGACACGCGTACACAGCCGTCACGCCCGGTGCTGTAGATCAGGCCAGCGTGCTCGCACACGCACGTCACGCCCTGCTTCCCGTGCACCCCGAACAGGACGCTCATGGGCTGCAAGGCTCCATCTGCCTTAGCCTCCTCCGCTTTGTCACGATACAGCAGCAGTGAACCTCTCCGGTCTCCACACACCCACAGCGCCCCCTCTGGCCGAGATATGAGCACTGCGGTGGTCAGCCAGCGTTTCGCACAGGGGGGAAGAATAAAAGGACCCAGGGGCTCGGTATTAAGAACCACAGCCCCCCCAACCAACTCTGTATCTATCTGCCAACGGTACACCACACCTTCTGCCCCCGATGCCAACAAATACCCACCACGGCCCCCCGTTGGGTGTACCCATAGCACGCTATGGATCTTCCCTGTCCCTGCCTTCAGCCGTATCCCGGCGCTGGGCTGAGACAGCGGGAAGAGCCATACCTCTCCACTCAGGCTGCCAACGGCACACATCTCATCCCCACTCCACCACTCCAACACCTCCATTACATTGTAGGAACAGAACCCCGCACCTCCCTTCCATAACAGCTGCCAGCCACGTTGCTCCTCCCACGAATAAACCTCCCCCTGATCAGTGGTGATTACCACTCCTCTCTGCCTCAAGCCCCTGCCCCCAGTCACACGCACCACCTTAGGGCAACCTACACCCTCAAACCCCAGATCACGCAGGACCCCTGCATCCTCTAGTCCGCTGTCCTCTTCCTTGAGGCTCCAGAGACGGATGCCACCATCTGTGCCCCCTGTAGCTACGTACCCACCTCCCCCAGCTCCTCCCAGGCTGACGGCCAGCGCCCTAACCCCTCCCGCCCGGTGCCCCCTCAGGGCACGCGTTACCTTCCCGCTGTCCCAGTCCCATGCCAGGCAGACGCCATCCTCACCTGCACTGAATGCCCCAGCGGATGAGAGCTTTACAGAGAACACCCGAGCCTGGTGACCATAAAGAACCCGCAAGCAGGTCGGGGAGGGAGCTCCACATCCTGCCTCCCCCCCCAAAGCACCCACATCCCACACTCGCACACTGCGGTCATCTGAAGCCGAAGCCAGCCAGCCCGGCTTGGGAAGGTAGGCCAGGCTGAAGATCACGCCGCTATGGCCCAGCAACCTCCGCTCCACTCTCCCCACCATGTTTCTCCCACCTTCCTTTTCTGTTCCCTCTCCAGGTCTCCAGAGGACCAGCTGGTTAAAGATGGTGCCCCCCACCACAACTAAGCTCTTCCAGCAAGGTCCCACCAGCAGGGCCGAATACAGAAGGCAGCCGTCCTCACAGGAGCAGAGGGCCAGCGTGCTTCCCTTCTGCACATCGAGCAGCAGCGTGGCATTATGGGCCAGTGTGACACCCAAGAGGTCACCGCGAACGTCCAGCCAGTGCACATCCAGCACCCAGTCCCGCAGCTGGATTAGCGGGCCAAGGGGCTGGAGGCTGGGGAGTTCCCCCATTTTCAGCTCCACAAGCCTCACTGCTTTGCCCCCGAATACCACTAAGTGTGCCCTCTGCTGCCATGATAGTCCCTGGGGTTCCTCCTCCTCCTTCTTAGCTACGCTTGTATGTTCAGCTTTATCTCCCTGCTGTTGGTGAGGACGGATTCCATGGATGCGGAAGTTCTGGAGGACGCTGAGCAAAGCAGAAGTTGTGGGTGAAGTCTTCAGATTGTAGACTGACAGAACTGGGCCATCACCTGTGGTCAGCACATTCCATATCATTACCAGAACATACTACCCAGCTAATTAGGCTTAAATTTACAATTTAATTAACTTAGTTTTGGTACAGATAAACATTAAACATTTCACGTCAGAAATTAAACACACCTTGACATCAACTTTTGCTCACCTGCCAGAAGGTAGTCCTCCCCCAGGAACTCCAGGGCTGTGACGGGGGTCACTATAAGCACTGACTCCATCAGCTACGAATGGACACATCCCTCATCTCGAATTACTAAGAAAAATAACAAGACCAGCACTTTTTCTATCCTATTCACATAAGCGGCTGACTCGTTCACTTACGTGCTATATTCTTGAGTTCGTACTCTAAAACATACATTCAAAGTGGCAAGATGAAGCTAGAAATGATGAAGATGCAATCTTATTGAGATATGTTATTTAGATCATGTCATATACAATACTTTGAAAATGAGTATAACAACTAAATTATATTTATAGCGAGCTACAACGCTCCTGGTGTGGGATTGACTCATGTTCTCTCAATACGACGTCGTTATAAAATTTACTATAATTAACTGTATATAATTACCGTAGGAACCTAGGCACATCGTTATCTTAACTGTGTCACAATATATACACACCCGCATGGCACGAGCTGACTGTTATATTGTAATTTTAATATTATCGAATGACACACGACTCTTTCACTGAAACAGCCACGTATTGTAAATTAGTATGTTTCTTATTAACTTACAATCAGTGTCCTTGTAAATTTATTTCGAATAACCATTTAACATTCAAAGTCGTACCTAACTACATACTGCCTCTGGAGATCTTCTTTGCTGGAATTGAATAGCCAGGCGATCGTGTAATCACAGAATCAATCTAACGCCACCTGCTGCACCGGAGGATGGCGTGCTACCATCTAGACAGTTAATAACATTAAACGCCCACGTGTTCTCCCTTTTTTTTTAGGAAACGACAACCGAATTTCCTCATCAGTTACTCCCATTTATTTGCAAATACCGTTCGTATTATACGTAAAGTATGTTCCGTGTCTGGTTTCACGCAGAAATTACACAGACTAGAAACATGTTACTCAGTGAGCTGCAAAATACATCTTAATCTCGTTACGATCCCGTTGAAGCCTAGCCAAGCACGGTCAGACCGCTCCAGGATACCTTTGGTTGGTACCTCGCACGTTTCCAGCACTACAAATAGTGTATCAATAGAGTATTTTCACGTCAGATTCTGACCGCAGAAAGGTGGCTGCTGATTGGTCAGAACTTTGCGATGGAGTTTGCGCATGTCGCGCACGCCATCGTGGTTTGAATTTTGTTTCCGGCCGCGCTAAAAAATGTGAAGGGGACAGCGGAACGAAACTGTCTGCTCTACGGGAAAACAGTGCCCGCTTGCCGTCGTCCTGTGTGAGTTAAACAGCCATGTCTTTTCGGCTGTCATTTGGTACATGGAAATTATTAAAAAAAAAGCGAATACGTAAATTGCTCGCGTTAGCTGGTCACAAGTAAGATGTCAGACGTATTTACTTGCAACTTTGTTTTTGTTCATTTACACCGTTTGATAGGTCGCTGTGCGCAAGCGGATACATTTATAATTCACCTTTGTTGTTCTGTATGCTTAAAACACGGAAATTGTACGATTCGCGATGTCAATAACATTAAAGTCGTCGATGACACATCCCAAATTCGCCTCTAAAATTTAATTATTGTCACGTGAAAGTTCTGTGTACATTTTAATTCCTATCATTAAAATATTAACTATCTCTGCGCTGTTACTTAGACTTTGTGATATTTTATATTACGTGTATATAAGTAATGTGTATACGTTTTCCATTAAATACATTTTTTAGTGTCACGTATTTTGTGATGCTGTCATCCTTATCCTTGTTCTGTTAACCACAACGTCGTTGTTTTTTTTCTAGTTCAACTCAATTAGCATTGATTGAGCTCTTTAAATAAATGAATGGCTGAATTAAAAATGCTGTGAACCGCCTAGTTGAAGTTTTTTGTCTCAGATGTTTCAGCCGTTCTTAGCGCTTGATCATTCAAACGGGCGAATGATTACCTACATTAAGATTTTTTTGCTTTGGTGTTATATGTGATCTCTTGTGTGGAAAAGCGTATTTATAACGTACCTTTAACGACCAAGTAATTTGATTAATTGAAAGTTTGCCCCAAGTCATATTATGCTTTACTGAACAGTAGTAATCACAGCCTGGTTTGGTAATTGCTCTGCCCTGGACCGTAGAGCTTAGCAGACGGTCGTACGTTCTGCTGAACGCATCAGCAAGGCTCCCTGCAGGGCATTTACATTGCAAGAGCAGAGCAGAGCTGCCTAAATCGGCAGGGACACAGCCCGCCCTAACAACTCTGCAGTCTCTCAGTGAGAGTGGAGTCGACCACTTTGGGTTTCACTGCAGGCTATAGTCTGACTACACCTTGCATGTGACCAATAAAACCCGTGAATCTTTAATGAATGTTTCAACTACACGTTACATCTTATGTGCTTTGAATTCTGTCCTTCATTTGACATCTCAGACAATGTTAATTAATGTCTCAAGCGACGAACAGAAAATAGTATGGCAGGACCATATTTCAAAAAGCCCATTTGAAATTATTCTAGCTAATTTCTGGTGACAGTGTAATACAAATACTGTTTTCAGTATAGTTTACTGTCTTTCAGTAAGCAAAGTTGACAAACATGTCAGTCACAGAATGCAAATTGCTAGGAATGCATCCAAATTAGTCAGCAGCTATGGACTAACAGGAGATCCATTAGTAAAGAGGCAGGATTATTTGTAAACACTAAAGATTGGTGTCCACTGCCAATATTATGAGAAATTGTATGGTGTGTGAAAGGAGCAAATGGATTTTTCCAGTGCCCAGACTGGATTTTAATGCATTTATATCGTAATTCTTTCTTTGCAGTAATACTCCATCAGATTTAGAATGTAGCCTGGGTTAATAATTGGTCTGCAGTCCGGCACACATGCCAGTCTGCAGGGATCACACTGTAGCCTGTGGCAGCAGTCAGTGATGGGCGTTGGTGACAGATGACTATTCCCCGCCGTGGCCCCAGCAAGCATTGGCCCTCTGCTGCTATGGCTTACCGCACACCCAACTACACTCACGAGCAGAAGCTGTACTTCCTGCAGCGCATCCAGGGGGTGGTGGACAAGGTGCAGGACTTCCGTAAGGATGTGAACACCACGGTGAAGCGTAACGCGGCCTGGAACGAGCTGCTGGTGGCGTTCAATGCCGCCTTCCCCGACCGG